CAAACACACACACACAAACACACAACACACACACACACACACACACACACAAACACACACAAACACACACGCTCACAGACGCACACACACACGCTCACAGACGCACACACACACACACGCTCACAGACACACACACACACACATGCATGCACACACACACGCATGCACACTTACACATAAATACACACACATAAACACACACACACACACACGCACACACATGCGTGCGCGCCCGCACACATACACATAAACACAATGAATGCCAGCGGGAAAGGAGGAACCAAGTTTTTGGGGGTTTATTTTTAGAACTTCTTTTCTCTTTAATATTCTTTTTTTTTTTTTTTTTACTTGTTTTTTGTTTGGGGTGAGACTGCAACTCAGTTGTTATCATATCGGACAATAAAACGGACAGCCCTGGCTCGAATCCCATCAAGGAATTCTGAATTTGGGTTGTTTTGGGTAGTCTTTATAATTCTTTCCACCCTTCTAATTCATTCTGTCGCAGCTGGACGTTAAATTCGGAAGTCCCGCCTCTTAAATAACCTTACAGTTTAGGATGGAACGTTAAACCTGTTCAATTTCGCTTTTTTCCCCGAGACATGAACAATGGTTTCATTTTTATGTATCTGTTTTCACACAAAAGTGCTATTTCTATTTCCGTGTCCATCTTCAGACAAGAATACAAACATTTGTTTTTCGAGTCTAAATTTGTTTGCCAGTCTATTTTCAGACAAGAACGTGTTTGCCAGTCTATTTTCAGATGAGAATGTGTTTGCTAGCCTAGCTTTAGACAAGAAATTGTTTGCCAGTCAATTTTCAGACGAGAACGCGTTTACAAGTCTATTTTCAGACAAGCATTTGTTTTCTAGCCTTTTTTTTTCAGGCACAAATGTTGACTCTTTTTTCGTGTTTATTTTCAGAGGAGAATCTGTTTGCCAGTCTATTTTCACCCAAGAATGTTGACTCTTTTTTCATTTGTGCTTATAGACAAGAATGTTGATTCTTTTTTCCGTGTCTATTTTCAGACAAAAATGTTGATTCTTTTTTCCGTATCTATTTTCAGACAAGAATGGTGCTGTAACACCGACCGCTGCAACACAGAAGGCCTGGACTCCGCGAGTTCTCTGCCCTTGTCTCACGTCCTCTTCGTCTCCTCTCTCCTGCTCACTCTGGCCTCACGGCTGGGACTGTGACCGTGAGCCATAGATTTGTGGTGTGATACTATCCTAGACTGTGCACTCTTATGTCCTTCCGGTCCTATATGAAGTGATGTGAGCCATAGATTTGTGGTGTGATAATACCCTAGACTGTACACTCTTATGTACTTCCGGTCTACCATGAAGTGGTGTGAGCCATAGATTTATGGTGCGATAATACCCTAGACTGGGCACTCTTATGTACTTCCGGTCCACCATGAAGTGATGTGAGCCATAGATTTGTGGTGTGATAATACCCTAGACTGGGCACTTTTCTGTACTTCCTGGCCTCCATGAAGTGATGTGAGCCATAGATTTATGGTGTGATAATATCCTAGATTGTGCACTCTTATGTAATTCCGATACACCATGGGCGCGCCATTTTATTTTACATGTATTTGGAAACAAATTTTTAATTATGAAGGAAAAGAAGGGATAGGTTACACGAGTGCTCAGCTGTAGCGGAACGGGTCATTTGATCGTGAGGAGCATCACTTCACCCTATTTGGTACCAAATGAGGGGCGAGGAGGGAAAGATAACGCACTCACTCGACTATACGAGGCTGGGATTAATAAGCGTCTATAAAAATATGGTTGCTTGCACAGTATTTATGCTTCTTAGAAAGTTGAGGTTGTTTCAGAATGCTCTCAGGTCTGCTGGGGTAATAGTATAGATTGTGAGGCGCATAGAGCTTGCTGTTGAGTGGGGATTTGCGCTATACAATTCATGTAATCTATTTCTATTTTTAATAATGTTGTCCTTGATTTGCGCGCTCATGGTGCGAACTGGTTCGGCGAAGTTTTTAAAAATAATCAGTAAAGAGTAGCGGCCATGACAGTGCCTAGTCTAGGATATTTCAAGTCTATGGAGTGAGCAGATGGAGGGAACCTAAGTCTTGCTGGGTCTGTTTGTCACAGGAAGGTAGAGCAATGCATCAGTGACTGAGGAGGGGTGAGCAGAGTAAGGCTGATTTCCCGTTTGGAGAGAGAGAGAGAGAGAGAGAAAGAGAGAGAGAGAGAGAGAGAGAGAGAGAGAGAAAGAGAGAGA